GAATATAAAATTATACTACAGCGAGTGAGTATTAGGTTCATAGTTATTGAAATCAATGTTTCAATATCATATAACAATTCTCTAATCAATCATAAATTCACATTATATATTATATTACAGTGAGTGGGTATTTAAATTCATAATTATTGAAATCATTGTTTCAATATCATACAAGAATTCTCTAATCAAATAAACTAATTAATTAAAATATTCACAGTCCGTAAGTATTATCATGAAACGTGAAAAAATGGCAAGGGAAACAATTGATGAACGCGCAGCGCGTCTTGCCAGTAACCGTAAACAAAAACGCCAAAGAGAACACGAGAACGCGAAAATGAAATGCGACAAATGATAGCAGTAAGCAAACACGCCATGGAAATGTACCATAAATCGGAATATAAAGATAATTCAATTCCAAAATATTAAAATACTTCATAATTCTTAGAAGATATTTACCTTTTTTCCGATATTATGATTAAATTACATGTCTAAAGATAAAGATAAACCAGATAATTTATTTATTTTAATTGATACTGATTTTATTTTCACTGAATTTATGACATAATTTAATGTATCTTTTAGCTTTGAATAAATTACTAGAATATATGCAGGACAAATAGAAAATCATGACAGTTTCGTTAGCAAAATCCGACAACATCCATTCGATATTAAAAATTTAATAGGGTTTAATGAAGATGCATTTAAAAATTTTTGATAAAAATATTAATTTTAAAGTATACCACGCTATTGTAATTGAGATGAGAGCACTTAATTTTTGGGTTTGCAAAAATCGAATTTGAAGATATCAAATCAAATTATGAAAATTCTAATGATAATCAAAAAAAAAAAGATTTTATCAAACTTCTATCAAAAAAAATTTCAAAGGGTAGCAAGATACATCTGCAAGCTTCGATAAACTTGAGAAATTCAAATTTTGTTTCTTCCTTCTTCATCTGTAGAATTCAATAACATGTTTTCGAAAGCAATTGAACTAGCCATTTCGGAATAAGTTTCGTAACGTTGTGAAGTCAGAGAACAATTACATAAAGACAATATCGGATTTAAGATATGACGCCCTTTTGTATTGCACATCAAATAAATCAGAAAAATACTTTTGCTAAAACGCCTATACAGTAGAAGAATACTCTTATTAACTTAGACCATTAAAGAATCTATAATAAAATTTAAGAAATAATTATTTAAAATAATCACTTACGAAAAGTAATGAAACGAAGTTCAAGTTTGATTTATTTATAAAAAAATAATGATTAATTTTCCTGAATTTCATTTTCTTCAACTATGAAAAATTTAAAGATTGTTAATATCATTTGGAAAATGTATTCACAAATGATTATTATTATCTAACAAGAAATATAATAAATACTTACTTATATCATCAGGAACTACAAAATCCCATTGCTTTGTATCTAAATAATAACGTAATATTTTACATAAAAATGATTATTCATTTATTGCTAAAAAATATTACTTACCATGTGAATTGGGTTCAAATTTTTTTATTTTCTGAACGAACAAAAATCTACTCGTATATATTGCCTCAGGATGTATTCCATTTGGATCATATTGAATAAAATTCTTGTTTGATTTATTTGCTGCTTTAGCTTGTTTTATTGTTTCATCATCCTCATATCTAGCAACATAATATTTACCAAATCGATTTTTTAATTCTTTAGCAGTTGGACGATTGAAAGGATCAAAATCCCAGCATTTTTCCATTATTTCTTTAAGGAATTGAGGGATTTCACACTTAATTTCAGGTTTACGCCCTTTGCAAATGTCCATTACGAGATTTGCATTATGTGAAATATTGTAATATGGCGGATAACTGGTTAAAACTTCTAACATAACCATACCAAAAGAATAAATATCAGATGCTTTGGTGTATTCTCCTCTACTCAAAATCTCAGGCGCCATGAATGGAATTACACCATAAATTTTTTCTGGATCATTTTCTGTAACTGGCTTGCATAATCCAAAATCAGTAATATAACATTCAGTTAAAGTTTGATTAACTATATTACCGGAATGAAAATCTTTATGCAATAAGCCCATTTCATGAATACTTGCAAGCCCATTTACAATAGTTAATAAAATATAAGATTTTTTTTTCCAAGTTAATTTTGAGAACTTGCTATTCAAAAGTTTTCGAAGACTCCCATATTTCGCATAACTCATAACCATCATATATTCATTTCCAGTTGGATTTTTAGTGATGCCATATATTGCAATTGAATTTTGTCCTCGAAACTTAAGTTGATTTTTAATCTAAAATATTTATTAACATAAATAAAATAAAATATAATTATTATATATTAAAATAATTAAATCAAGTAATTTGAAATCTTCACCTCTAACAAAAAATCATTTTTATCTATGGAATTATCAAGACTTTTTAAACAAACATCTTGCTCCTTGGGTCTCACCCAATTTTTTCCTTCTAAATCAAAAAATAAAATACAGCCATCAAGCCATTTTGCTTTGAATACCGTGCCAAAACCTCCTTTAGCAAGGTATGTGACATTCTCAAGTCTGTAAGATGGAATCCACTCAATAATTTCTTGACGGTTATTTGCATTTAGTTGTATTTGCTGGATAAATTTGTCAATTTCTCTATCTCCACTTGTCCATTTATCAAATTCATTTTGAAATCGTTTGGCGTTACATGGACAGCACCAATTTCTTCCAGTATTATCTTGATGACATTCACTACACTTTTCAGGAACACTAATAAATAATGCTATTGATAGTTAATTAAAGAAATTGAAATATTGATTTCAATAATTATGAATCTAAATACTAACGGACTGTAATATAATTTATATTGGATAGTTTATAATTTATTAGGGAATAGTTATATTATATTGAAACATTGGTTTCAATTATTATGAATCTAAATACTCACTCTCTGTAAAATAATTTATATTGATTAATTCATAATTGATTAGAGATTTGTTATATGATATTGATTCCAATAATTATGATTTAGAATACTTACAAACTATAATATAATTTATATTGAATAGTTTAAATTTGATTAGAGAATTGTTAAATGATATTGAAACATCAATTTCAATAATTGTGAATCCAAGTACTCACTAACTGTAATATAATTAGTTTACAATTGATTAGTGAATTATTATATGATATTGAAACATTGATTTCAATAATTATGAATCTAAAAACTCACATGCTATAATATAATATATGTGATTAGTTAATAATTGGTTAGAGAAGTGTTATATAATATTCAACCATTAATTCAATAATCATAAATGTAATACTCACTCGCTTTAATATAGTTTAAATTGGTTAGAGAATTGTTATATGATATTGAAACATTGATTTCGATATATAAATCAAATACTTACAAACTGAAAACAATTAGTTTGTAATTTATTAGAGGATGTTTTACGATATTGAAACATTGATTTCATATAGTTATGAATCTAAATACTCACTCACTGTAATATAATTTATATTGATTGGTTTATAATTATTTAGAATTATATGATACAGAAAGATTGATTTCAATTATTATGAATTAATACTCACTAACTGTAAAATATTTATGTGATTAGTTATTATACGGTATTGAAACATTGATTCCATATAATTATGAATCTGAATACTTACACGCTGAAATAATTTATATTGATTAGTTTATAATTGATTAGAGAATTGTTATATGATATTGAATCAATAATCGTGAATCTAGATACTCACAGACTGTAATAGAATTTAAATAGATTAGTTTATAATTAATTAGATTAATTAGAGAATTGTTAAACATAGTATTACGAATAGTTGTAGAGTCGTGTCGACCAGATGAGTAAAGTATGGTTACAAATTTGATGCGTATAATTTAATCCAAACTATACACATCATAACTAACCAATCCCTGACCCTAACCCTAACCCACGTGATAATTATTTTATACTCAATATCAATATTTTTACCATTCTCTACTCAACTGATCGATCCGACTCTACAACTATTCGTATCACTCGTTAAACATTGGTTTCAATTATTATGAACCTAAATACTCACTTGCTGTAAATTAAATTTATATTGACCAGTTTATAATTAATTAGAGAATTGCGAAACATTTATTTCAAATTATTATGAATCTAAAAACTCACGGACTGAAATATGATTTATATTGATTAATTTATAAATTGTTTTAGAGAATTGTCATGATATTGAATTAAATTGAATTAAATTGATTTTAATAATTGTATATCTAAAAACTCACTTGCTATAATAAAATTTGTATTTATTAGTTTATAAAGAATTGTTATATGATATTGAATTAAATTAAACTAAATTATTTCAATAATTATGAACCTAAATACTCACTTGCTGTAATATAATTTATTAGAAAACTGTTATATGATATTGAAACATTTATTTCAATAATTATAAAACTAATACTCACTCGCTATAATATAATTTATATTGATTAGTTTATAATTGATTGGAGAATTGTTTAACATTTGGTTTTAATTAGGTATTATGAATCTAAATACTCACTTTCTGTAATAAATTAATATTGATTAGAGAATTGTTAAACATTGGTTTCAATTAGGTATTATGAATCTAAATACTCACTTTCTGTAATATAATTAATATTGATTAATTCATAATGGATTAGATAATTGTTACATGATATTGAAACATTTATTTCAATAATTATGAATTTAAATACTCACTCGCTGTAATATAAAATATTTTTGATTGGTTATATTTATTAGGGGATTGTTATATGGTATTTGATATTAAAACATTTGATTTCGATAATTATGAACCTAAATACTCACTTGCTGTAATAATTTATATTGGTAGATTTATAATTGATTAGAGAATTGTTATATATGATATTGAAACTTTTAATAATAAAAAAAACTCACTAGCTGTAATATAATTTGTATTGATTGATTAATAATGATTAGAGAATTGTTATATGAATTGTAAAATTTTGGTTCAAATAACTATGAACATAAGTACTTACTAACTGGAATGTAATTTATATAATTAGTTTACAATTGATTAGTGAAATATTAATGATATTAAAAAATCGATTTTAATAATTATTAATCTGACTACTCACTAGCTGTAATATAAAATATGTGATTAGTTTATAATTGATTAGAGAACCGTTATTTAATATTTAAAAATAAATTGAACAATTATGAATTAAATACCCACATGCTGAAATATTTACATCGATAAGTATAATTGATTAGAGAATTTTTATGTGATATTGAACATTGATTTCAACAATTATAAATCTAAGTACTCACTCTCTGTAATATTATTTATATTGATTAGTTTATAATTGATTGATAACTGATTCGATAATTATATCCAAATACTCACGGACTGTGAATATTTTAATTGATTAGTTTATTTGATTAGAGAATTTTTGTATGATATTGAAACAATGATTTCAATAATTGTGAATTTAAATACCCACTCACTGTAATATAATATATAATGTGAATTTATAATTGATTAGAGAATTGTTATATGATATTGAAACATTGATTTCAATAATTATGAACCTAATACTCACTCGCTGTAGTATAATTTTATATTG